AATAAATCCTGTAGCCTACTGATTAAACAACGGGGAGGGAGAGGGAGGAAATGAACTTGAGGTCATGGAAAATGCAGCCAGAGGTGGATAATGTGCATATGCGTGTGTTCGTGTGTCTTTCTTAAAATGAGCTACTTTTTCACGCCTGACAAGCGGGCAGTGTGTGTGCACGCGTGTGCAAGTGTGTGCATGTGTGTACACGTGAGCGCGGGTGCATGGACAGTGAGTCCTCCTTCTGTGGTATTGGCAGCAAATGATGATGTTTTAAGCAGTTAGAGGAGATAGGAAGCAGCTCTGGCTTCAAATTCCTGCCATTATCTGCCCCAGTCTCCTTTGGAACTGGTAGTGAATGAGCGATCTTAATGTTCAAGGTCAATCCCTCCGTGACACGCCTTCTCAGGTGAGCGCACAGAGATAACACTGAGGCCTGGACACTCCTCAGCAGCTTCTTAGCTGGGTGGTGAAAACAAAAATGCCACCTAATTCGTCACTGGCTCTTTCCAGTGAATGAAGGAGGTTTCTGTTTTAAGAAATAAAGTGACATACTGTTGATTCACTGCCCACAGGGAGATTCTGAGCAGAGGCTTCCTAGCCTTTGTAGAAATTTGCATACAACTTCCACTTCCTGCTTCGGAGCCTGTTCTGCTACTTACCTGGGCCCAGAGAGGGCGGAAGGAGGCTGCGAGCGACCCAAGGTGGAGAGAGACGCGTAGCAGGGAGCCGACCACCCCCTGGGCCCGGTCTGTCTGTCCGTGGTGGTTCTAAGGTAAGTTATTCAGGGTTGCCACCTGCCTTGTCTTTTTTCTTAACCACTGACCCATTTTCCAAAACATTCTGTGTCTCCTTTACTGAAATATTCTGTTGTTATTTTCCTCTGCCTTCCTTTCCCCACCTTTAACTTGTTCGCACAGAGACCAGCTTGGGCTGAGAAAATGACAGCAAAGTTTCTGCTGCAAGAACGTGTTGGGGGTTTAGTATTTCAGACAGGCGAGCCCCGGTTAACTCTTTGGGGAGAGGAGGCACGCACACTGGCACACAGAGCTGCCTGGGAACAATTTATTTGGGCATTTAGTGTCCCCACAAGTTTCGATCAAGAATTCAAGCCCCACTTCTCCGAGGACGGAGCCGGGGATGGCAAGGATTAAGTAACTGGCTTCCAGCCGCAGAACACGTCAGTGGCAGAGTGGGAAGGAGAACTCCAAGTTTTCCCAATCCCTGTTTCATGCAGGCAAAAAAAAAAAAAAAATCAACACCACATTCTTGGGCCAGGAAGTTCTGCTGAGCTCTGTGCTGGCTGTGAGCTGCCCCTGCTGCCCCCACCCTCACCCCCAGCCATCCCAAGCAACCCTGGCGTTTGCTGGCACTGGACCGAGCCTTTGGGGAAAACAAGAGGAGAAGTGCTAGTACTTGATTTTAGAAGCTAATCAAGCTTCCTGTGACTTTCAAGTTCAAGATGGTCTCTTAGCTATAATAGGGGGATTTTCTTTTTTTAAAAGGACAGGAGAAAAAGAGGCCAATAAATAATTTTTTAAAAGGACAAGAAACTTGGTTTCAAGTTCTTACTCCACTTCTTGTGGTTGCGTGACTTAGGCAGTTCACTTGGCTCCCCAGGCCTGGATTTCTTCATCAGTAAAGTGTGTGTGTGGGAAGGGGAGCAGGACTAACATGATTATGTCCAAATTCCCTTCTAGCAAAACAAGGCCAGGGTAGTCCCAGAGGGGTAGCCATAATGGGTGGTCTTAGAAGACTTGTTTTGTTTACTGATTATTCACATAGATTAATTTTACCTTCCACTACCACTTGGTTAGCCCCTGGGGAAGAGCACTTTGTTTCTTGATACTTTTCTATCCCCCAGAACCCAGCAAACTACCAAACACCTGGGAGGTGCTCAGGCTCCTCCCACATAAGCTGCTTTGATTTCTGTTCCACTCCTCTGCTCTCAAGGCAAAAGGTAAAGCAGCAGTCAAGGGCAAAAGGCTGGAGGGGCTGGGCAGCAACGTGGCTCTGCAGGAGGGCTGCCCAAAACTAAGGACTTATGATTAGATTGGCTCCAGCCAAATAGGACAAAACCGGGAATTTCTTGAGTTAGTTCACGTCCCATCGGGGTTACCCAGGAAGGATCATTGTGTGCATTTAACCACAGCGTCCAGGCAGGCCAGAGAACCGGCAGACAAGCCAGGCTCCAGAAGCCAGAGTTACTGACTTAGCTGGAGCTGGAAACCCTCCACCAGTCACTGTGTGTGGGGCCTTTAATGGGAGGGGAAAGGAAACTGTGAAACATCCTAATACCATGTAAGGGTGATGACTATGATTAGACACATTATTAGATGGTGGATACACTGAATCCTTAACCTTCTCTAAACCACTACTTTTCGTCTTTGTTATTGTTTCTTTTGGGCAATTACGGTCAATACAGTTCAAACAAGCTCTGGCTGGCTGGGATGGGCCGATTCAGGGCTTTCGGTATTGCTAATCTGTGGGATATTAAGGTCCTGGTATAGTCCTTGTCATGTTTTTAGGTGTTTCTATTTTCCTGGGATGAGAGGACAGGAATTTCAAGATGTTTTTCTTGCATTGAGTTCCTGATTTTATTTTCAAATAACGATGCACCATTCTCTAAAATCAGGCCAACTGTTCAGTTGCCAGCCTAGCTTTGATCCTTAAAGACCACACCACGGTCATTCTTAATCTGGAGCTGCAGCCATAGGTCATTCCATGATGGAGCGTCGAGAGGTGGATAATGTGATTACTCTGGTCTGTCCATTGCATGGGGTGGACTAACCACGAATGAAGTCTGAGCAATGTGCCAACATGTCGGAGAAAAAGGTTCTTAACTCAAGGATATTCATTTTTGGAGGGATCAAGGCAGAAAATGGTAAAGCCTGCTTCCTCCAGGATTAAGGAGTTAATAACTTTCAAATGTTCTGAAAATAAAAAGAAGAGGAGAAGACAGTCATATTTGCAGGCATTCTTTAACAGACACTCAGAAAGATAGATTATGGTGGGGTGGTTTGTCTAAATTAAATCTAGGTTTTACACATCACAAAATGGAAATCTCAGAAATATCCTGAATTCAAATCATTTTTCTGCTGCAGGCAATTTTAGATTAGCCTTTAAAAACATATATGAATTGCAGGCAACTGCTGCAGGAAGAAAAGAGAGCACAGATGAGGCACATTCAACTTCAAATTCCTTTCAGATCCAACGAAATGACCCCTAATGTTTGATCACATTTCCTTCTCAAAACAATCCTGCAGTCCTTCCGTGAGACAGCATCTGAGGATTGGAATCAAGAAGCTGCCCCCCTGGGCCTCTCCTGTTTCTTCCTAACACATTGTCACCAAGGTATTTTTAGTTCATGAAACCCAGGCTGTCCTTTCTCCTACCGACATCCTTTGCCTCCTATGTCCAGCAGGCCTCCTAGGAGCCCATGTGTGCTTGGCTGCCCACTGCTCAGCTCACTGCCTGTGTGTACTTGGATGTAAGCACAGACCTTCCCGGATACCAGAGTTGTAAACTGGCTGAGGAAGGTGGGCTTCCATCCACGCGGTGGTCCTTAGAGCTGTGCCAGTTTGGCTTGGTTCCCTGGTAAGGCAGCTGAAATCAAGCTATGTTGGAGGGATGGGTCTGACTGGAGCTCCCAGCCTGCGTGCCCCCCAACTTCCACTTTGCAGACCCCGCTGCCTGGGGGCCTGGCAGCTCCCTCAGCAATGAGGGATACCTGGCTCTCCTCTGCCTCACTGTTCTGCACTCAGGGCTCCACTGCTTTTCCTTTTTCTCCTCCCAGGGTCAACAGGTCTCCCTCTCATCTCTGAACTCTCTTCCTATTCTAAGTCTGCTGTCCCCAACCCCCGGACCGGTACCGGTTCGTGGCCTGTTAGGAACCGGGCCGCACAGCAAGAGGTGAACAGTGGCAAGTGAGCGAAGCTTCGTCTGTATTTACAACATCCTCATTGCTGGCATCACCACATAAGCTCCACCTCCTGTCAAATCAGAGGCCGCATTAGATTCTCATAGCAGCGCGAGCCCTACTGTAAACCGCGCATGCGAGGGATCCAGGTTGTGCGGCTCCCTATGAGAATCTAATGCCTGATGATCTGAGGTGGAGCTGAGGCGGTGATGCTAGTGCTGGGAAGTGGCTGCAAATACACATTATCATTAGCAGAGAGGTTTGAGTGCACAATAAATGTGATGCACTTGAATCATCCTGAAACCATCTCTCCCACCGCCCCAATTCATGGAAAAATTATCTTCCATGAAACCGGTCCCTGGTGCCAAAAAATTGGGGGATCGCTGTTCTAAGTTGTCTGCCCAAAGCCTCCCTATCCTTTAACACTCTTGCCCTTTACCCGTGTTCTTTCTTTTCCTTCCGACTGCCCCTTCTTGTAGCCAGTAATACCTACAAATTACAATTATTTTTAAATACATCTCTCTTCTACACCAATAAAGGGCAAATAAAAAAAAAATGTCATTTAAGGTTTTCCCACTTTCCTTACTTCTCTCCTCTTGTATTCTTTCTTCCTTTCTATCCCTTCCTCTTCCTATCCTGATTTTTCCTTTCTCCCCTTCCTCTCCTTCACTCTGTAGCCTGGACTGAATTAGGGATCGTGAATGTGTGCTTAGAGAAACCATCTTATCTGAAAAACAAAACAATGACAAAAACAACAAAAAAAGACATGGCCTGGTTGAGGTTGTTTTCTAAATGTTTATTGCCATTCCCAATGTGGTGGAGTCAGTATGTTCCCATTAGTCTGTGTCCTCCTCATTTAGTAGCTCAGAGGGGTCCCAGAGCAAACTTCCTCAAATCAGGTCAGTTCACGCTACACCGCCTTCAGCCTGATGTGAGTCTTCCTGTGCAGGGTTATGTCCAAGGGCCAGTAAATGTTCCCTTGTCTCCAGGGCTCACCACGGTTTCAAATCCTCTGGCAAACCTCATGGAAGAACTTCTCTGTCTGGGAAATTCTGCAAGTAAACTTGGAAGTGTTTGTTCACTGGAGTTTGAATCTGGACCAAACAGTTCACTCAAAACCAACCTTCCACCAAGCAAACCAATGTTATGAAAGTTTGCATGCGTTTGGGCAGTAAACAAAGAACATTAATGAGTTTAAAGATTTTTTATAATAAAATCCATGACTTTTAGACACTTATAAAAAAATGATTCTCTAAGGAATGAAGGACCTTGAGAATCTGTAATGAAAGTATCTGATCCAAATCGGATCTGAGGATCCTCCCAACTGTAAATTTATATATACGTGTATGTAATGCCCACCTGAAATATTCATGCTGTATGTCTCCAGGACTCTTCAACCCTATTTTTGACCCAAAGAAAGCTTAAAAAAAAAAAATTCCAAGCAGTTGGTGAACACCAAGCCCTGATTATTTCAGAGCTGTTAATGTGGTTTATTAATTACTCAGGCTGCTCACTCCTGCCCTTCCTCTGGTCCTTGCTGTGCTATTTGTCTTCTTTCAGGGACATACACCTTCATTAAATCCCATCCGTCCTTGCCTCAGAGTCGTCCCCTGGAAGATATCCCTTCTCTGGATGCATCACCATTTATCATCACCCTTTGTTTGTGCTCTGTCAACCAGTTTTCAATTTATTTTGAATTCAGTTTATGATTAAAATTTAATGAGATCCAATCAAGTGCTTTTCTCAAATCAAGATGCCTCTGCAGTCTCCTCCATATCCTCTATTGTAATGGCACGAGGAAAGCTACTGCAGGTTTCCAGCCTAGCAATTCTTTATAGAACACAGGTGGCATGTTTCCATGCCTCCTTAGCCTCAAGGTGAATGGTTCAGAAACACATGTATTCCAGAAGTTTCTAGGGCTTATGTGGCTTCCCCGTCCCCTTTTTCCCTCCCAAACAGCTGTACCAGTCAGTGTTCCCAACCGAGATACGAGCAGTCAAGTGCACAGGCTCTGGTGCTGACCTGCTTAGATTTGAAAACCTGCTCTGCTAGTTACTGGCCTCGTGACCTTGGAAAAGTTACGTAACCTCCTGGTGCCTCAGTTCCCTCATCTGTAAAATGGGACTAACAATAGTACCTGTCAAATAGCGTGCCTGTGAGCATTAAATAAGTTAATACATATACAACTCTTGGAACAGTATTTCCCACATAGTGACCTTTCAGTAAGTATGAACAATGATTGCTAACACAGAGTGAGGTTTCTTATGTATATCCATTTCATTAGGTTTGTATTGTGATTTATCAACATAATCTACATCAGCAGTAAACTACAACCCTTAGGCTAAAGGTGACTCATAGGCTGTTTTTGCATCAGCCTACAATTAAGAATGGTTTTTATATTTTTAAAGGTTGTTACAAAAAAAATAAAAATAAAAAGGAGCAGAATATGAGACAGAGACTGCATGTGGCTCATAAAGCATAAACTATTTTCTCTCTGGCCCTTTGCAGAAAAAGTGTGCCAACTCCAGTCTGTATGGCTTAATGGAAAGCGCTGGGAGAGCTATAGGCCAGATTTAGCTTCCCCAGTCTTCACTGGCTTCACCCATGTCAAGTGACTTTGGAACAGCTACTCAATGCGTCTAAGCCTCTGTAAAATGGGAATGGCAAAGTGGTAACACTTTCCCTGCCTGTGGCCCTGGCTTGTTTTAAAAACCAAATGAGGCC